TCTTAGAATCTCGAAAGAATTCATTTAGCTTCATACTGATTGTTGTGAGATTCATCACGTTCTCAGGATGGACTTATGCATATGTAGATATGGAACGAAGATATCAATGGCACTTCATTTGTTCATAATCAGTATCGCAACTTCAAAATATTGTAAGTATCGTTCATGTCATAACTTATCGTTACTGATCAAGATGAACACAACTGGAGATGGTTAAAACCTACTGCAAAGATCATAATTCGTCGGCGCATTGAACGCCGTTGACGCGTTGAATTCTGTTCGGCATGTCGGACAATTGATCGAGTCCAATAAATAATACTGAAAAATCGACTCATTTCACTCAACATTTGTACCAAAAATCCTAATTCACTTAATATCGCCCAGTAAAATGAATTCATCTATCCAATTTCTAATGAATTTGCAATTCCGTGAATGCGGATTTAGAATCTATAAAAATTTATTCCGAAACAACCAAATAATTCGAAACAAAACCATTAATTTCTGTACTTCAAACATTTACCTGTTGATGACAACATAGCGAGAAGAGGCATTGCTCACAGAAATTATGTCCACACGGCAGAAGTTTCGGGGGCCGTTCGGTTGGATGAAAACCTTCCAGACAGACTTCACACTGGATCAAATCGTCGCCATCAGTTAGAAAAGAGACCAGCTTCTGCGATGACGATTCACTTGAATCATTCTGCGTAATGGCAGGCATAACACCCTGTTCTGTTGTTTCTGAAACAACGATAGATTCCGGGAATTGCGGAATTCTTATCGGAACGCCAGGAAAGTTCGCTAACTGCAATCGCCTGCATGTCTCGGAAACTAAAGGCGAAATTGATTTCGGAACGTGTAAAAGAAATGTACGAATACAAAACACACATAAAAACGACTATTTAACACAAAATTATCACTATGAACAAGGTCGTTTCAATGATAACATCACAATGATAACGCATAAAATTTCGCAGACGATTAATCAGTGAGATTTTAACATCAATGAAATGTTTTCCATTCAAACTTGTGAATTCCCGTAAATCCGCATCAGAAACTTATAAATCGCATCAGTATAAATATGATCTCTTCTCTAACTATCTTTCCGTTCCATTCTGAATCTGTTTTTGTTGAAAATATGATCAATTCTCACCATATATGAATCAATCAACACACAAAGTCAACCAACTCAAAGCTGTCTTTATAGGAGAACATTCTTTATGAGAGAAAGGAGACATTCTTCGCAGAAGAATGAATTCTTTTGAGCTGAAGATAGATGGACGAGTTAAAAGACAAGCTAAAAGAGTTGCTAGGACTGAGAAGTTTTTCTGATTTTTTTTTGATTAATGTTTACGGTTGCAGACAAACGTTATTCCCAGTTGACAGACGTTATAACAAGACAAAATTCTTCTGTGCGTATCATCTCAAACCTCTCCAATAACACAACACACAAACTCGAAAATCCTCTTAAGTCACAACGAATTGTTGTATGCAAAAAGTGAATAAGAACTCTTAACTAATACAAAAGAAAAACAAGCTACTAGAGCACTGACAACTGATTCAATCAGTCATTTGAGACATTTCTCTTTTTTTTNTTTTTTTTGTTGCTTTGCTCAACCCACAAGTCTTACTCTTATTCAAATAGTTCAAGTCAACAGAGATCTTGGAACAATTTGAAATTTAGTTCATTGCATACAACATTGCGACTTGATAATACCAATACAGACGTAATATTTGTTCGAAATTCAACATTCTGAATACAACAACTGCAGGCAACCTGAACGGACTTGATCAGATGTGTTCAGGTGTATCCACTCAGGTGATACGACCGATTTCTGTTAATGGTAAAATCCTAGTTTTGTGATTCAGCTATATCTTCGTAACCGTGAACACTCCCCTAATAAAACGCATAATTTCTTTGCGAGCAACAATTTGCTCAACAAATTGGATTCAAAAATATGGATTTTCTAACAAGATTTGAATGTAGTGGCCGATTAAAAGTGTTGATCCAATCATGTTCTGATGATCATCTGTAGTTGATCAATTGTACATCAAATAGAATGCAAGTAAGGTCGATCGTTTCGACATAACCCTAATGATTTCACTCAATTTCGCCGAGCTTTTGAACCTGATAATTTACTCTCTCGCCTGAGAAGTTCTATTCTCATCAAGCACTTGCTTTTTCCTCTTCATTCCATGATTGTCATACATATATATATTGAAAAATAACTTGTTTACGATGAAGTGGGAATGTTTTCAGTGAGAATCACCTGCTCACATCAGTTGAGTATCATAATCTGCTTCTTTTTACAACTGTTCAGTCGTCGTTGAAGGCTAAACTAGACATTTCATATTGAACAAGCTGACGGCAGTGATTAAGCAATTGTATTGAAAATAATAGCAATAACAGTAATCATATTCCAGTCAGTTATGAGTATGCTCTCAATAAAATGCTGAAATTTCAATTTTAAATAATTGCATTTTTTGCCTACTCTTCTAATGGATAATTATTATTAACATATTTCCATGTGGAGAAGAGCAGTTAAAATGAAATGATTCTAATGCTTCCACGATCATCCAAAAAGCCGTTAGCTGCAATAATCGCCAATTATTTTGTTAATAATCGTCGATATAGGAAATGAACAGTCAATAAAAATAGCACATCACATATGGAATGAGGAATCTAACGGACTCTAGATCGCTGACAACATCATCGTAGAGTGGATTGAATTGCTTGTGAACTGCAATCTAATAATGAACGTCGAAGGAATCTTACAATTTTTTCACTAGAACAAAAACACTGAAGAAGTATTTATCATGTGCTATAATAACAGAAACAATAACGACACCTTAAGAAGTACTTCCACACTTCGTCCTTTTTGAAATCTTTCGACGATTCAATGAAGGATGAGTCGGATGGCCGTTATCGTAAGTCTTATTTTCTCTATTTTGGGTTATTCCTTCCGTCTTTCGAACTGTTATTGTCGTCATAAAATTTAATTTGATTTCACTTATTGTTGGTGCGAACAGTTCGGAGGGAAGAATCTTTTTTTGTTGTTTCCTTTTTCTATTTGAGAAATGCAAAGGAATTTTTCAGGACAAATATGCTGAAAATGATCATTTTTGAAAAGCAAAAAACACAATTCTTTGAAGACAAGATACTATCAGCAGGTTTCCCTCACAATGAAATTGGAATGTTTTCAGTGGACGGATTGTTCTAATCGAATTTTCCGACTGATGATTTTTCCAAAAATCAAATATGGAACACAATAATTATTACGCTGCATATTTTGTGATAAACTGAGAATGGTTCAGCTCGCAGGAGTAAAAAACTCAAAACATTATTAAAAATTTTCTCACAATCAGAAATTTCCATTTCGCAAACTTTCTGCGCTCTCAGTATCATTCAATGAGACCGACCGTCAGATTTCGAGTGGTCATTGATGAGTTTTTGCATTGATCATAAATCCGTTGCTGTCGTTTGTTAGATAAATCAAATTAGAAACGGTTCAACGCTTTTATCGATGAAACGTTTTTATCTTAACGATATATGTATCATTAATAAAGTGAACGATTCCAGTCGCGTATTCGGATCAAAAAGATGAAGGTGTGCATGCTGCATCATGCTGCACAGACAGCCGTCGTTCATCGCAGTTGGTGGCATTAGAATGGATCGTTAACGAAAGAGAAAACTTGCAGCGAATACTTCGCTGCATTCATCACCCAAAATGACAGTGTAGCCTTGAAGCATTGAACTGCAATTCGTGTTCTTTTTCGTGGCATTCGAATTCGATGAATCGTAAATGCGTGTGATTTCGAGGCTTGAGAAAAAGATTTCAGATCAAACATTGAACAATGAGAAAAAGAGATTATCATTGAGAGAAAGAATTAAGACACTATGTAAAGTTAGAGCATCATATCAATAAGGTTCTACTTAGTAGTTCAGGCATTATTCTTCTTCCCATCATACAAGTGCTAGGAAGATTGACAGTTTTGTCAGTTTTGATGATAACAACTGATAAGATCAACTATAATCTGAGATTTTGATATAAATTCAAGAGTTTCGACACTACTTATCTGACGACCAAATAGATCAAATATTGATCGCTCGCTAATCATTGATACTGATCGTCTTCCAGTTGAACTAGAACAATAGTTTAATTACGACGCTTTATAACCACTGTGTAGTTGATAGTAAGAAATAATTAGAATACTCTGAAACAATATCATAAAGTACAGTCAAATAACAAAACATAATAGATGTAGTCTGAGGTTGTAACGTTGATCGCTCCAAAATAAAACCACACATAACCTTAGAGAATAAAATTCATTTGCAGAAATACAACTGAAGGCGTGTCCAAGACGATCTTCAAAGAAAACCTATCGTCATTGTTTATTCTCATTCTTTTACTCCACTACTCTTTCATGATCATTACTGGCGAATAGCGATCATTTTACGTGATATTATCGCCAACTGCTGAAAAATTCTTATTCTACTGACATTTTTTGTTTCATCTAAACCAGGGAAAACATATCTAAACTAAGAATACTACTGCTTCACTGAGTATCTTTTTTGACCAAAATCGATGATCAAAACTGAATTTGAAAGCCGTTCTGGATTCAACGAAAAGCTGTTTCGAGTGTGCATTAGGCTTGGCTTGATGGAATTAAGAGATAAAGGTGATCATGAGAAATGCATTTGGGCAGTGCGGCTGTCACCTCGGCGAAGATGCTGTCTTTCATCCGATTGTGAGCAGACGAATTCCTCATCCGTATCATAAAACATCTGCTTTCCTCGTGAAAACGAAATGAACTGCTGGTTGGAATGAAATTAATACTGCGACAATAAACACAATATCTGGAACGATGTTAACACTAACGGGTGACAACAGCTGTAAGATACTGATCACGCAATCGCACTCCCAAATCANAAATACTCAATCAAAACGTTCAAATGAAACTGGATCTATTCAAACTGTGAATATCTTTTATGGCATAGTTTTTGTCTCACATTTTGAATCTGATATCTAAACACATTCACGTTTCGATTTAACAAAATTAAAAAAATAATCGCTGTGAGTACATTTCGCTCGTCATCTATGAGAACCGTAAACATTATGTCGAAATAATCCTAATGATCACGCTCTAAAGCGGATATCGCCATTACTTTTTGTTGAAAGGCTATTGAGAGGGCCGCTAATAAACAGCGCTCCTCTAAAACGGATCTGAAAACGCGAATGTAATAACGATGAACACAGACTCATCGTTAGTGGTGTTGCACACTGAAAACATTGAATCTATTATAAACAACGCTCATTTGAGCTCGTTACATATAGCCACACTAAAATGCGGATATATGCAACAGTAATCCTTTTATGATCAATTACGATCGTCCGTCGATTGATCCTCACATGAAACTATCGAACCGCAACATTTTGCTTACCCAACATCATAATTTTGCCTAGTTAATCGCGCTATTAACGGTAAATTAAAAGGTTTTATGGTGGTGATTGCACGCAAATGCATCAGTTTAAATACCGATCAACTTTTTAATTACTTACGTTTGCAAACAACCGGAAACTGAATAAGAAAAAGTATTAATGATCACCTGGATGACGAAACAGATTCGGAAGTGGTAACATTACAAATATCCAACCTAAACTATCGCTGAATTTTTCGATTATTTACTTTTCGTGAAAGGAAAGTGGAGAATACGGGATA